CCCCCCACCCCCCCTTGTAGTTTTCTGCAGGCAGCCTGTAGTGGGTGGGGACCTGCTGGGCTCCTCCCACAGCTCTAATCTCTGCACAGGTTATGCGGAGCATAGTGGTTCAGCAAAAATGACTTACCAGCACTCCATTTTCACCGCTCTCTGATGAGCAGAGACGACTGGAATTAGGAAGCAAGGACATACAACATGCCATACATTCCCTTAAAGCTGATCAGTGCACTCTATGTGAAGATACATTACATAGCAGACAAATCACTACAAATGCCCTGACAAGCATGCGTATTTTCCTATTTTACAGATTCTTTATGAAGGTATATTCCCAAAATTATCAAAAATTCCCAATAGGTCAATAACCCATCCAAAGATTTGTGTCTAAATATTGTGCATCCCATACACAGAATGATATATACATATTGTGCGTCCCATACACAGAATGATATATACATATTGTGCGTCCCATACACAGAATGATATATACATATTGTGCGTCCCATACACAGAATGATATATACATATTGTGCGTCCCATACACAGAATGATATATACATATTGTGCGTCCCATACACAGAATGATATATACATATTGTGCGTCCCATACACAGAATGATATATACATATTGTGCATCCCATACACAGAATTGGGTATAAATACAGAGCACAGGATCCACCGTCAGAGAAATCCAAGACTCAAGCTGCGCACGTACCTATAAAATATATTATTGATTTGTTTCCTTATGTAAGCTCGAAGGCCTAAAAATTTGCCGTAGATTCGGTGCAGAGTCGTTTTCAGGAAATCTCTCTCTCTGGGGTCTTCACTGTCGAAGAGCTCCAACAACTAAGACGGGGAAGAGGCAACAAGCAGGATTACAACACTGTTTCAACGCAAGCACCACCGGCAAGCACAAAGAAGAAAACATTACTAAGAAAAAGGTACCTGAAGAACAAACTTCTGATCAATATATTTCTTCGCTACGTTGGGTTGAAAATCCGGAGACTCCAAAAATCGCAGGAAAAATTCATATACAAGCTGAAAAAGAAAATCCGAATGTGAGGCAAAGTAAAGGTTCGACCTGCAAAACATCACTCAACTGAAGGAAGCAACTGCTGCTACTGCTAGGAAAAAGCTGGGCTGTGTACACTGCCTGGCCCAAAATAAGTCACCACCTGGATTTCGGGTTGCGTTATGATCTGGGGTTGCTTCAGTTGTCCAGTCTAGGTTCAGCAATGTTATGTCCCCATACAATGAGGTCAGTTGAATATACTGAATGGCCAGGTTTTTCCCATCAATGGATTCTTTTTCTTCCCTGATGGCATATTCCATGATGACAATGCCAGGATCCAACAGGCTCAAGTTGGTTCAGGGACATGATTTTTACATACTGCTTCATGCCGTCCCAGCAAAGCTTCCTTACAGAGACTTGTATTGTAGAGAAGGGGGTGTGTCTGACCAGTTCTGTTACCGAGTGCCGATTACTGAATGTCCTTGGTCTAACTCTGATGCCTATTGGACTGCGAAGTCATATTTAGTCCTTCTGATGCCATATCTGTAGCTTTATTTAGGCTTTAAGCCTGATGCATCCATTTGAAAAGTTCAAGGACCATATAAAAGCCAAGGCACTCAAAAGCGTGACGCAAATTGTTGGTAACTTCTATGCGGGCTCAATAGCCAGTAATAAAAACAAGTTTAGATATAAAAACAGCCTGAAGGGTGCAGCTTGAACGGTTAAAAGAAAAACAGATAAAGTGCATACCTGTAGATGTGGCCATGCTGCTTCTAACGTCGGTTCATCTTCCTCTGGGTCAAACTCGGCTCCGGTGGGGTTGGAGGATGGTGGTAATGTCCGAAACATGTTCACTGCAAACTAAACAAAAAGAGCCGACTTAGGGGCAGGTTCACACCATTTTCCGGACCAGATCTGGAACGCAGTGATTGCGTTTTGCCGCGTTACTGCGATTTTGCTGTGTTTCAGAGCATTTTTTTTTCTTTAAGATTAAAATGGGCTTTCGAGTGCGTTTGTATGCGTTTCCAATGCGTTCCAGACCAGACAAAATGAGACATGCAGTATTTTTCTGGTCTGGAATGGACTGCACTGGTGTGAACAGAGGCCAGAAATAGCATAGGGATACATTGGGATGTATTTTGGGTCCGGAAACAATCTGGGCTGGTGATGATCTGGATGTAGTGTGAATGGGCCCTAAATGCAGACAGTTAAGAGATGAAACCTGACCACAATCTAAGCCGTCCCACAGAGCTGGAGGGGTGCACAAATGTCATTGTTAAGCGTTATATTAATGGCGGATGAGTTTTTCATGTTAAAAAAAAGAATCTATATGAACCTCTCCCAAAAATGCCATATGATGACCACATAGATGTCTATGGGGCTGTAATGTGCAGCTGCGTCCAGCAGAGGGAGCATTGTGGCCCCTTATGAAAACAATAGCAGAACCGTACCTGCTGGATCTTGAGAAGTATAAATCTGTGGATGCTGGGATGGGGTGGGGGGCAAAAAGGAGAAGTGCATTTTGTTTTAAAGTGCACTTATCCACTTATCTTCTGATCATTACAAAATTACTGACATTCTAACCCTTTCCTGTGTTTTCTCCAAAACAAAAAACCCGGTCAGGGGGGTAAAAAATATTAAAAAAAATATGCGCTGACCTCTGATGAAAGGGGTATTCTACATACCTGGCCATCGGCCCATTTACTAAAACTTCACTGTGTAGCAGTTCTCCCGGAAAATTATGCGATTACTCTGGCTGGTCAAAGAGTTGCTCTCCCCCAATGGCTGCTGTGGTTCCTCCAGGACACAACAATTACATAGGGCTCTCCATGAGAAAACACAGTGGTCAGTGGGGAATACACTCTTCAACATACCCGGAAGTGTGGAATTGGATCGGTCCAAGGAGCCCTGCTACAGAGCACAGTTTTTGGCCTTATTCACATGGGTGTGCATGCCCCTGCAGAGACCAGGTCCAGGGAGGGACAGGTGCCGCCTGTAATAGCATGCAGCCACCCCAACATCCCTATGGACAGGATGCAGCTGCACAGTGACCTGACCCTGCTCAACATCCATGACTGTCTGCGTCCAAATGCGTTCACCCAGACCAGCACTGACGCACAAGTTCAGGTCAGCATGTAGCCGCATCCTATCACAGGGATGTACAGGTGGCTCATGAAAAGTAGATTTGTCTTGACACTTGACTCACACTAGAACAGGCAGTGACTCGCTGAGGAGCAGTCAGCTAGGGGAAGGACTTCTTGATGTACCTAAAAACTGATGTAATGAGGGCAGGAAAAGTCTAGAGAGACCGCATCCCGCCACTTCACATCAAATCTGAAAACAGTGAGTGAGCACAGCCAAAAGCAGAGGAATGTCTGGACTCACCACATGAACCACCTCCGGGTAGATGGGTTCCGTGATGACATTGCGGTTGTGCGTGATGTATTCTACCATCTCGCTCAGAGCCGCCCTCTTTACTTCCTTCCATTTCAGATCGCTTAAGGGGTCTGATACAAAGTCGAATAAGACGCAACACTGCCGCAGCTTTTGGACAAACAACTTTTCCTGCTCGGCCGGGGGCACATCTGGAAAACAAAAAGGAGAAAGGAGTGTCACTGGGGTTTGTATTATTATTATTACATAGTATTTATATAGCGCCAACAGTTTGCACAGCGCTTTACAATATAGGGAAGTCATTACAAGACAGACAAGACGGTAACGAGGGCCCTGCCCCTGAGGGCTTACAATCTAAAAGGGAGGGGCCAGTGGTACATGAGGAGGGAGCTGCGTGGGGATGAATTGTTTGAGAACGTGATGGTTGAGCGGTTAGGTTGAGGTGGGATAGACTTCCCTGAAGAGATGAGTCTTTAGGGATCGCCTAAAGGCAGTCAATGTGGGATATAGACAGACAAGTTGGGGTAAGGAGTTCCAGAGGATGGAATGTATTGTTTGTGTGCTTATATGTAGATTTTGCTACATCCCTCTTGAACCCATCAATAAATTAAGCCCTGGTTCACACCTAGGCGTATTGTATATGCGCATCTGTTTTACCACGAATCGCGCGTTTCTGAGGGCTACTTGGCTGTATCCCAATGGAAACGCGCAACAAAAACGGCCCAAAGTATTACATGTACCTTTTCAGGCGTGGGCCGTTTTGTAGCGCGTTAGGGACGGGCTGAAATACGCCAAGGTGTGAACCAGACCCATTGAATACAATGGGATTTAGATGTTTGAGCGTTTTGTAGAGCGTTCGTCGAGCGTAGAACGCGCTATAAAACGTTCAGGTGTGAATGAGGGCTTAAGATAAAAGTTACATGTAATGAAGACTATCATGCTTTCACTTGTAGAAGCTGTCCAACATTTAAAAAAAACTTGACTGCATGGTAGTGGGCTGGAAGCCCTCACAGAACCGTGTCACTTACACCTTCATTCTAAAGGAGGCGCATGAGCTGAAGACTTTCACCTCCCACACAAAAAGCAATAAATCAGAATTTCCGGTTCGTTAATGGGTTCTCCATGAGATAGTCTAATGGAAGGCTACTAACACCAATGGTAAAGCGCATTGCAAATGGAAGGTCTGCTTTCCTGTCAGCACCCTGCAGCCCAAACAAAACGAAGAGCAAGAAAAGAAGAACTTTAATATAAATAGTAAAAAAAAAAAGAAAAAAAAAAAAAAAAGAGAAGAGGATAAAACCTCAGCCCTGGCTTCCAGGAGACTTGGTGACATTACTGCGCCTTCCAGTTGCCTCAAAAATCCACGAGAACGCACTTCTGTATTGGGCTGGGGAGCATTATTGTGCGATTTTATGTGCTGAGCTATTCCAGGAAGTAGCGGGGAGGTATGGTGATCCTTATGGTGGTCATCAGTGCCTCCCAAAAGCTGGGACCAAGGTTTTTAATTTTTGTTGTATGATCTTTATTGTATTTTGAGACACACAGCTATTTATTTTTTGCTGTGAAGGGTAACGTGCTACAGCATATGCAGACAATTTAGAAAATTGTGCTTTTCCAAGGCCATTTTCTGCTCCAGTATGACTTGTGTCCCTGTGTACAAATCCAGCTCCATAAAAGACATGGCTTGACCAGTTTGGTGTGGAGGAACTCGAATGGCCTTCACCGAGCCCTGACCGTACTGAACACCTTTGGGATGAATTGGAACATCAATTGTGAGTCATGTTCTCCTTCAACATCAGCACCGGACCTCACAAATGCTCTTTTGGGTGAATGTGTATGACTTCCCACACATACACTCTACTACCTTATGTTCAGGCAACATCATGCAAATCTGCACATATACCATTTCACCTTTGGCTGCGCACTACTAAAATCCTCAATGTACAGCCACAAAAATGCTCATATG